GGTGCCTATAGGGCGATATCCCTCATGTGCGCTGATTATAAGATATTTGCGAAGGTTTTGGGCAATCGCACGAAGAAGGTGATTGACCTTGTTCTACATAAAGGACAGTATGGGATTCAAGGTCGAAGTATGCGTGAGGGGCATGGAAGAATTAGGGATTTCGTGGAGGGCAGACAAGGGAGGGGGATCTTGGGGATTGATTGAAGGCAGGCTTATGACTGTGTGTAGTGATACTGGTCCTGTGGGGAGCAGCAGCAGGATAATACTGCACCACCTCTTGGGGCCCTTAACAACAACAACAGTTTGGTGTGTGTCATGGGCGCCAACACATGGTGTGTGATTCTCTCCTACTATATCCATTTATCAGTGATGCAGATTACATGGTGAGTTTAAATATGTGGCCTGTAGTTATAACTTTTCTCTTGACATATGCAAGACATCACCATCCCTGTAGAAGCCATTATTAGATGTACTAGTCATTATATTTTGTTGTTGCAGAAGTACTATGAAGATTCTATGTTCAATAAAGCCTAGAGATAAGGCCTGTGTTTCTATCACAACACTGTGTTCATAGACGTATGTTGTGGCGTATTTTACAAAAACAGGGTTTTGGGGATGAGATTGTGCAGTGGGTGACTACTTTGTATACACCTGCGAGAGTCAGGGTACAAGTTAATGGGAAGTTAGGGATGCCGGTACAGATGGGGAAGGGTTTGAGACAGGGTTGTCCCTTGTCACAAATCCTTTTTGCATGCATGCAGGACCCATTTTATAGGCTTATAGAGGAAGGAGTGTGGGAACGGGGAGGGAAGGGTCCTCGCAGATGTGGGATTGTGGGGTATGTGGATGACACCACAATTTTGGTGGGAGGGGAAATAGGATTGGGGAATGTGGGACGTATAATAGAGATTTTTGGTGGGGCGACTGGGATGAGGGTCAATGGAGCAAAGTCTAAGTTAATGGAAGTAGGTACGTGGGTGGGGGGGGGGGGTTTGGGGGAATTGTATGGGTGGAACGTTGTGGATAGACTTAAGATATGCGAGGTGGTGTACATGGCAGAGGCTGGGGAGGCGCAGAGGGTAAATTCAAGGGATGTTGTGAGTAGAGCGATGGGTAGGATGCGAGGGTGGAGGGCCGGGGATGTAACGTTGCAGCAGAGGGTGATGGTGGTAAACACACTGGTGTATAGTAAAGTGTGGGTAGTGGCAGAAGTATATCCCCTGAGGGCGTGTGATATTCAGGAACTGGAGAGGGAGGTTTTGAGGTATGTGTGGGGTTATGGGAGGCCGTGGCTTCGGAAGGAGGTGGTGATGACGGACGTGCGACTGGGTGGGCTGGGTCTCATACCTTTGGACACACGTGTTAAGGCAGTATATGTGAAGCAGAGGTACCTAAGGGCAGGAGGGAGGGGGGTATAAGGTGGGAGAGGTCATAGAGGATGTGAGGAAATGGTGGAAGGGGAAGGAGTTATTGATGTGTGAAGATATGATGCGTAATTTATTGACAATCCAGAATGCAAGGAAGGTGAAGGTTGGTAGGCTTGGGAGGACAGGTAGGCAGGGAGAGGTGATACAGGGACTAGATACATACCCGATGTATGATTGGAGGGGCATTTGGGAAGACTTTCGAAAGATTAGATTAAAGCCGAAGGTTCGTGAATTGGTATATAGTTTTTTTCTGGGAATTCTAGCTTCAAGGTCTGTGCTATATAGAATGGGTTATGTAGGTGAGAGGAATTGTCAGCATTGTGGGGAGGAGGAGACAGCTTTTCATGCTGTGTAGTTTTGTGAAACCTTGGGGGTTGTAAGGACATGGTTAGCGAGGATCCTAGGTATAGTGGCGGGGGGGGGGGAGAGTAACATCTCGACCTTGAGGGCGTTGCACTTTGATGTTTACCTGGAGACCTGGAGAGAGTTCCGGGGGTCAACGCCCCCGCGGCCCGGTCTGTGACCAGGCCTCCTTAGGTCAGTGTCCCAGGATGCGACCCACACGTGTTTCTTTCCACCTGTTGTCTATGTTCCCCATCAGTAAAATGGGTACCTGGGTGTTAGTCGACTGGTGTGGGTCGCATCCTGGGACACTGACCTAAGGAGGCCTGGTCACAGACCGGGCCGCGGGGGCGTTGACCCCCGGAACTCTCTCCAGATAAACTCCAGAAACACCAGTCGACTAACACCCAAGTACCCATTTTACTGATGGGGAACATAGACAACAGGTGGAAAGAAACACGTCCAATGTTTCTACTCTGGCTGGGAATCGAACCCAGGCCCTCACCGTGTGAAGCGAGAGCGTTAACCACCAGGCCACCAGAGCCCTGTGGGTGGAGTGGGTGGATGTGGGTGGAGTTTCCAAAGACATTCGGCGGGCTGTGATGTACGTTACCTGGAGGTTATTCCGGGGATCAACGCCCCCGCGGCCCGGTCCATGAGCAGGCCTCCCGATGGATCAGGGCCTGATCAACTAGGCTGTTACTGCTGGCCGCACGCAGTCCAACGTACGAGCCACAGGCCGGCTGATCCGGCACTGACTTTAGGTATCTGTCCAGCTCTCTCTTGAAGGTAGCCAGGGGTTTATTGGCAATTCCCCTAATGCTTGATGGGAGGCTGTTGAACAGTCTTGGGCCCCGGACACTTATAGTGTTTTCTCTTAGTGTACCAATGGCGCCCCTACTTTTTATTGGGGGCATTTTGCATCGCCTGCCCAGTCTTTTACTTTCGTAGGGAGTGATTTCTGTGTGCAGATTTGGGACCATTCCTTCCTAGATTTTCCAAGTGTAGATTATGATATATCTCTCCCTCCTGCGTTCCAACGAGTACAAGTCAAGTGCTTCCAAGCGTTCCCAGTAGTTAAGGTGCTTGACAGAACTTATACGTGCAGTAAAGGATCTCTGTACACTCTCTAGATCTGCGATTTCGCCTGCTTTGAATGGATATGTTAATGTACAGCAGTATTCCAGCCTAGAGAGAACAAGTGATTTGAAAAGGATCATCACTGGCTTGGCATCTCTCGTTTTGAACGCTCTCATTATCCATCCTATCATTTTCTTTGCACGTGCGATCGTGGCACTGTTGTGATCCTTGAAAGTGAGATCCTCAGACATTACTACTCCCAGGTCCCTTACATTATTTTTCCGCTCTATTGTATGGCCGGAGTCAGTAGTATACGCTGTTCTAGTTATTATCTCCTCCAGTTTTCCATAACGGAGTAGTTGGAATTTGTCCTCATTGAACATCATATTGTTTACCGTTGCCCACTGGAAAACTTTCTTTATATCTTCTTTTTTGTATGTTTCTTGGGGTATACGGGAGGTGGGGGGTGATTGCAGGGTGAGGGCACTTGCAGCGGGTGTGTATCGTACGGTTTGCAGGAATAGGCTACTATATGGGAAGGTGTGGGTAAATAGTTTCCCAGTGGGTTATCGTAATCTGACGGTAGGTGTTATGTTAGGGTTGGGTGCAGGGTAGAGCTGGAATGGGTGTATTCCCTGAGTCTGTCGCTTTTGTTCTGTTTTGAGTTTAGTGGGGGGTGAAATGTGAATAAAAATGTGTGGCAGTGGAGTATATGGGTGTGTTGTCGTTAGGCATGATGGGGGGCGTAGGGGGGGATGACCTGGTGACCTGTTATTAAGAGACAGGGGTTTATGACTTTAGACTTCAGGTATGAGCTTGAGCATGTAAGGGAACGTAAGTTTGTGTTTTTAATATAGACAGTATGGGGTCAGGGGATGGCAGGGGGTGGCTTTCTAAAGTGTTTTGTGCCTGGATGGATTTTTAATGATGGAGGTAGTACTGCTCTGCACATGTATAATTAAGAGCGATAATGTTATTTTATCTTTTTCAGTGTGTCAGAGTAGGTCTAATAATGTTCTGAATACTGGTTTCTATACATCAATATCTTGATGAACATGTTAAAACATAAATATGAGAATATGTTCTTAGTGTGTGAGTTTCATTATCTAGTGTACAGTTACCATTTTTAGTTGGCATTCTTCTTTATAGTCAAGCAATGTTCCTATCTATTTTTTGTCATAAGTAATTAATTATGTTAATTAATCTTTTTATAAGTTAAGTGAACAATAGTCAGACGTTGTGACGTCTTGTGTAAGTGGCATTTAATTTTGCAATGGGGAAAAGGAGGGGGTGTAAGTAATTTGATGGGATCATAACGACATGCAATTGAATTTTTTGTACACTGTATCTAGAAGACGGGAAGGAGTTGAGTCTTGACAGTATTTGTATTAAATCTTAAGTAAATTTTCATGGAATTCTGTGTAACGGCAATGTTCATCTCTTAGTCGGGTGATAAGTAGAATATAAATTTTCATGCTAATTGTAATATATTTTAATTAATGAAACGTACAATATTGTATTTAGCATAGGAGTAAGGTATAAAAAGCATAGTGGATGAGGAATATTTTTGTGTCAGCACAAAGAGGAACCTGCAGTGTGTATTTAGGAAATGAAAATTTATGTTCTGTGGCGGAGCCGATAATAGGGTTCTTTTATTTATTTAATGTATTACAATGTAATTTTTAAATAAATTATAAAAATTTTTTTTTACATATTCGGCACGACATATATATATATATATATATATATATATATATATATATATATATATATATATATATATATATATATATATATATATATATATATATATATATATATATATATATGCAATAAGATCACAGTAAAACAGGTGATTTCAGAATATGCAAAACAACCACTCTGAAAGAATAGAGAAATTCCAAGCGCTTTCGTGACTACTCACATTATCAAGGAACTAGTTCTTTGATAATGTGAGTAGTCACGAAAGCGCTTGGAATTTCTCTATTCTTTCAGAGTGGTTGTTTTGCATATATATATATATATATATATATATATATATATATATATATATATATATATATATATATATATATATATATATATATATATATATATATATACTATATGTTTTATGATTCTTCCATATAACTATTACGTGTGAAAATGGACGCACTGATGGCAGTACAGGGAGGAGGAGGTGGAGAGGTTCATGGTGGAGTGCATGATGACACAGGGGGTGTCCAGGGACAGAGCTACAACCCTCGCTCAAGTCCTCGTAGCTGCTGACGTCCGAGGTCACTACAGCCACGGCTTACATCGTCTAGGTGAGTTCACTCTTTACACATGCTAGATGCTGACATCCGAGGTCACTACAGCCACGACGACTTTCGCAAAGATGATGAATGTGACATACATACAACACTTGGGGATCATTATTGCCGAGAAGTGTTGCCTTCACAGGAGGCTTATTCAGTCATTAATACATGTTTCTTTGCTGTGTATATCACTGACAACTTGTTACACAAGCTCGACGTTTCAACAGTAGAGATACTCAAGTACTGCACACAAGTCTTATTTATCACCTGGTTGGTACTACGTACCATTGATAATATGATCGCTGAGGTCACCTCACAACACTAGATGATAACACACGGCTTGCACAGTCTGGGTAATCTCACACACTTTACTTGCCAGATAACCGCACCTCATTACTTACTACAATATACAAACAAACAAAATTTATTTCTTTGCGCAGTATACATAATATAATAATAAAATATTATTGTTAATCACAAAATAAAGGCACTAACATACATGTACACATGCATGTACACATGCATGTACACATACATGTACACATGCATGTACACATACATGTACACATGCATGTACACATACATGAACACATGCATGTACACATACATGAACACATACATGTACACATAAATGTACACATATATGTACACATGCATGTACACATACATGTACACATACATGTACACATACATGTACACATACATGAACATATACATGTACACATGCATGTACACATGCATGTACACATGCATGTACACATAAAGTAGTCATTGGAGTGATGTATAACCCACCACAGAACTGCAGGAGGCCAAGAGAGGAGTACGAAGAAAACAACAGGGTGATGGTGGACACACTGGCTGAGGTGGCAAGAAGAGCTCACTCGAGCAGAGCAAAGTTACTGGTAATGGGCGATTTCAACCACAGGGAGATCGACTGGGAAAACCTGGAGCCACATGGGGGTCCCGAAACATGGAGAGCCAAGATGATGGATGTGGTACTTGAAAACCTCATGCATCAACATGTCAGGGACACAACCAGAGAGAGAGGGGAGGATGAGCCAGCAAGACTGGATCTTGTGTTCACCCTGAGCAGTTCAGACATTGAGGACATCACTTACGAGAGGCCCCTTGGAGCTAGCGATCATGTGGTGCTGAGTTTTGATTATATAGTAGAGTTACAAGTGGAGAAGGTAACAGGAACTGAAGGGGTCAGGCCAAACTATAAAAGGGATGACTACACAGGTATGAGAAACTTCCTGCAGGAGGTTCAGTGGGACAGAGAAATGGTAGGAAAATCAGTAAACAAGATGATGGAATATGTGGCAACAAAGTGCAAGGAGGCAGAGGAAAGTTTTGTTCCCAAGGGAAACAGAAATAAGAGGAAGACCAAAACGAGTCCTTGGTTTACCCGAAGGTGTAGGGAGGCAAAAACTAAGTGCAACAGAGAATGGAAAAGGTACAGGAGGCATAGGATCCAGGAAAACAAGGAGATTAGTAGAAGAGCCAGAAACGAGTATGCACAGATAAGGAGGGAGGCCCAGCGACAGTATGAAAACGACATAGCATCGAAAGTCAAATCTGACCCGAAACTGCTGTATAGCCACATTAGGAGGAAGACAACAGTCAAGGACCAGGTGATAAGGGTGAGGAAAGAAGGTGGAGAACTCACAAGAAACGATCAAGAGGTATGTGAGGAGCTCAACACGAGATTTAAGGAAGTATTTACAGTAGAGTCAGGAAGGACTCTGGGGGGACAGACCAGATGGGGACACCAGCAAGGAATACACCAACAAGTGTTGGACGACATACATACAGATGAGGAGGAGGTGAAGAAACTGCTAAGGGACATCGATACCTCAAAGGCAATGGGACCGGACAACATTCCCCGTGGGTCCTTAGAGAGGGAGCAGATATGTTGTGCGTGCCACTTACCACAATCTTCAACACGTCCCTGGAAACTGGGCAACTACCTGAGGTATGGAAGACGGCAAATGTAGTTCCCATTTTTAAAAAAGGAGACAGAAAAGAGGCACTAAACTATAGACCTGTGTCATTGACGTGTATAGTATGCAAAATTATGGAGAAGGTTATCAGGAGGAGAGTGGTGGAGCACCTGGAACGGAACAAGAGTATAAATGCCAACCAGCACGGATTCATGGAAGGCAAATCCTGTGTCACAACCTTCTGGAGTTTTATGATAAAATAACAGAAGTAAGACACGAGAGAGAGGGGTGGGTTGATTGCATCTTCTTGGACTGCAAGAAGGCCTTTGACACAGTTCCTCACAAGAGATTAGTGCAGAAGCTAGAGCATCAGGCGCATATAACAGGAAGGGCACTGCAATGGATCAAAGAATACCTGACAGGGAGGACAACAACGAGTCATGGTACGTAATGATGTATCACAGTGGGCACCTGTGACGAGCGGGGTCCCACAGGGGTCGGTCCAAGGACCAGTGCTATTTTTGGTATATGTGAACGACATGATGGAAGGGTTAGACTCAGAAGTGTCCCTGTTTGCAGATGATGTGAATTTTAATGAGGAGAATTAAATCTGATGAGGACCAGGCAGGACTTCAAAGAGATCTGGACAGACTGGACACCTGGTCCAGCAAATGGCTTCTCGAATTTAATCCTGCCAAATGCAAAGTCATGAAGATAGGGGAAGGGAACAGAAGACCACAGACCGAGTATAGGCTAGGTGGCCAAAGACTGCAAACCTCACTCAAGGAGAAAGATCTTGGGGTGAGTATAACACCGAGCATGTCTCCGGAAGCACACATCAACCAGATAACTGCTGCAGCATATGGGCGCCTGGCAAACCTGAGAACAGCATTCCGATACCTTAGTAAGGAATCGTTCAAGACACTGTACACCGTGTATGTCAGGCCCATACTGGAGTATGCAGCACCTGTTTGGAACCCGCACTGATAAGCACGTCAAGAAACTAGAGAAAGTACAAAGGTTTGCGACAAGGTTAGTTCCAGAGCTAAGGGGAATGTCCTATGAAGAAAGATTAAGGGAAATCGGCCTGACGACACTGGAGGACAGGAGGGTCAGGGGAGACATGATAACGACATATAAAATATTGCGTGGAATAGACAAGGTGGACAAAGACAGGATGTTCCAGGGAGGGGACACAGAAACAAGAGGCCACAATTGGAAGTTGAAGACACAAATGAGTCAGAGAGATATTAGGAAGTATCTCTTCAGTCATAGAGTTGTAAGGCAGTGGAATAGCCTAGAAAATGACGTAGTGTAGGCAGGAACCATACACAGTTTTAAGACGAGGTTTGATAAAGCTCATGGAGCGGGGAGAGAGAGGGCCCAGTAGCAACCGGTGAAGAGGCGGGGCCAGGAGCTAAGACTCGACCCCTGCAACCACAAATAGGTGAGTACAAATAGGTGAGTACATACATGTACACATATATGTACACATGCATGTACACATACATGTACACATACATGTACACATACATGAACACATACATGTACACATGCATGTACACATACATGTACACATACATGAACACATACATGTACACATGCATGTACACATACATGTACACATACATGAACACATACATGTACACATACATGTACACATACATGTACACATACATGTACACATACATGAACACATACATGTACACATGCATGAACACATACATGTACACATACATGAACACATACATGTACACATACATGTACACATACACGAACACATACATGTACACATGCATGAACACATACATGTACACATACATGAACACATACATGTACACATACATGTACACATACATGTACACATACATGTACACATACATGAACACATACATGTACACATGCATGAACACATACATGTACACATACATGTACACATACATGTACACATACATGTACACATGTACCCATACATGTACACATACATGAACACATGCATGTACACATGCATGAACACATACATGTACACATACATGAACACATACATGTACACATACATGTACACATACATGAACACATACATGTACACATGCATGAACACATACATGTACACATACATGAACACATACATGTACACATACATGTACACATACATGTACACATACATGTACACATACATGAACACATACATGTACACATACATGTACACATACATGTACACATACATGTACACATACATGAACACATACATGTACACATGCATGAACACTACATGTACACATACATGAACACATACATGTACACATACATGTAAACATACATGTACACATACATGTACACATACATGAACACATACATGTACACATACATGTACACATACATGTACACATACATGTACACATACATGAACACATACATGTACACATGCATGAACACATACATGTACACATACATGAACACATACATGTACACATACATGTACACGTACATGTACACATACATGTACATATACATGTACACATGTACACATACATGTACACATGCATTTACACGTACATGTACATATACATGTACACATACATGTACACATACATGAACACATACATGTACACATACATGTACACATACATGTACACATACATGAACACATACATGTACACATACATGTACACATACATGTACACATACATGTACACATACATGTACACATGTACACATACATGTACACATGCATTTACACGTACATGTACACATACATGTACACATACATGTACACATGTACACATACATGTACACATGCATTTACACGTACATGTACACATACATGTACACATACATGTACACATGTACACATTCATGTACATATGCACTTACACGTACATGTACACATACATGTACACATACATGTACACATACATGAAGACATACATGTACACATACATGTACACATACATGTACACATACATGTACACATACATGAACACATTACATGTACACATACATTACATACATGTACACATACATGTACACATACATGAACACATACATGTAACACATGCATGTACACATACATGTACACATACATGTACACATACATGAACACATACATGTACACATACATGTACACATACATGTACACATACATGTACACATACATGAACACATACATGTACACATGCATGTACACATACATGTACACATACATGTACACATACATGTACACATACATGTACACATACATGTACACATACATCAGGGCTACTGTCAAAGTCAAGAAAGTTCCTATTTGACAATGTTATTGACATTATTATTAAATATTTATTCACTGTTATCTTGGTTCAGATATTCGCTGAGTATTCCTTCCCGATCCCTTGTCCACTTGTTCACTGGGATTTACTTACATATTTATCAATAACTTAGTATCTCGTTCCATGTTATTTTCACAAACTTATAAACAAATGTTTTACATAACTAGGAAGCTTTTTATGTAAGATTTATTATTATTACTGTTATTTTTATTATTAGTTATTATATTCAAAGGGAAGCGCCAAACCCGTTGGTGGGATCATTTAGAGCCTGGGGAATAGAAGGTAATCAGGTTTGATGCGAGGAAGGGGAGGGGTGGCTCTACTTCCTTAGACCAAGAGCCTTTCACGGTAAACTTCTGGAGGCTTATAGGAAGATACTTCGGTATTTTTCTAGTATTTTCTTTTTAATTTATAATGCGCCTATTATTTTTTCACAAATTAAATTTAATTATTTTTTTCCTACATGACCATGCCGATAATTCATGTATATTAGTGATAATAATGAATATATAACTAAAAATTTTGAAGTATAGCACTTAACATGGAATTTTTGGTTTAAACTTTTGGTTTATTAAACTTTATTTTATTTCATTAAACTTTATTTTATGCTCATCTATCTTATTTCTTGGACTCCTACTATTTGTATAGTAAACCTTAAGGGAGCTAGTCACTCGTTGCCCTCTACTATCTCTCTTTGTTTGTTGATCAATTGATTTGCCATTACTAGCAACTTTATTTTGAATATTGTCTTTTAAACATATCCCTGAGGTATCCTAGTAATATCTGCTGTTTTCAACCATAATACTGTTCAATTATTCAAGATATGTTTCTCGCTGTTTTCCTCCCATTTTGCTATCATAATACCATTGTTGGAACAATTCACATCTAAACAACAAACTCTAAATGAAAGCTGAATGACGTTTCGCTCCATCCTGCAACATCGTTAAATAGTGACTTAATAATGGTCCAGGAGGAAAGTCCAAAATGTCGTCCAGTTTGCATTTTCAGTGTGTAAATAAGTTGTGAATTAATGGCATTTGCAAGTGATCTATGATTATTCTCCATTTGGATATTAATTTTTATAAATGCTCTTCCATATAATCACGTGTTTAATAAGGAAAAACCTGTCATTTTACAGGTCACTACATAAATGATGTGAAGAATAACTTGTGTGATGCTGGCACGACCCCCACTATAGTGAAAGAGAGTGTGTCCACCGCTCTGGTGGACGGCAACAATGGTCTTGGACCAGTTGTGGGCAAGTTCGCCATGGACCTGGCTATCAGGAAAGCTCAAACCACTGGTATTGGCTGGGTCTGTGCTAAAGGTAAAGCGAATAAACAGTTTGTCAGTATTATACATCTGTATCCGTGGTGCTTTGTTCCTTTTGGTAACTGGCCTAATTTGGTGGAAGGAGGCACAAGATGATGCTACAGGCAATCTGAAATCACAAACTCTTGTATTCAAACATAATATGTACACTATTGATTTTTCTCCCCTAGCTAAATCTCCCCAATAAAAAATACCTCTTGTTATTCTAAGTTCAGTTAGGTTAGATTTAGTTAACAAAAATTAACTTATTTTTACGAGTACCGACAGTAATCAAGACATGTGGACAAGTCTTCTAATATCTTCTGCCACTTTTCCATAACCGGGTCATGCATATGATTGAGCCCCGTGTCAGGAAACGCTTGTCCTGTCTCATGAATATTGGAACAACAACCTACTGCCCCTGTTCACATGGTAGCAAAAAAAACAAAACAAAAAAAACTGGGTGCTAATGGACTGTTGTGGGTCGTATCCTGTGGGATGATATACCTTAAAGAGGATGAGATTTTAAATGAGATGAGGAAGGATAGCAGCTGTATTATGAACTGTGGGGAACAAAAAGTATTGCCCGTATACGAGGTGCATGACTTATTTGGTGAAGATTCGTTTAAAGCAGGAGCTCCTATATTCAGGGACATTTCATCTAGAATTTTCACAACTTCACTGTTCGTCTTCGTGGGGCAATTGAGTCAAGTTTTTTTTTTTATCTCAGTCTTGCTCTCTACCTCTTTGTTGGTAATAGGCAAGGCAACAGTGTGACTGAGAATAGGTAATATGAGAACATGTGTCGTCCCCCTCGGTCTCTTTCCTTCTGGGACTCCCGCGATGCACTACACGAGTACAATGCTTGTGTTACTGTTAAATGACTCTATCCTCCAAGAAGAGGACACACTCATGATCCTACAGGTTAAACTTCCGACGGAACTGAGAATACAGGTTTCCCTACCTTTCAGAATTGTCTGTATTTCCAGTGTTCGTAGACACCATCTTGCGTAATTTAAACTTACAATCAATATTCCTAAAATAAATCTTAGTTCTAGTAATATTTTTGTTGACGCTTGCCTTTCCTAGCTTATTGTTAAATGCTATGCTTTCCAGAACACACTTGATTTGACCCGATCTTAGTTGTTTCCTCACCTCCCCTGACCTAACCTTGGCTATCTCTTCACTTCTTTCCCTGACATGACCTCTGACTTCTTTCCCTTTTCTCTTGTACTTGTGGTTTCATAATGGTCCAAGATGGACAGAAACATCGGCTTAGTTTCATTTTCGGTTGATGGGTGCGATATAAATGGCTCCATTTACGGTACTGTGGTCATCAGGTGAAGGTAGACGTGTCTCTTCAACAGGTCCAACATCTGGCACGCTGCCTGAAACATTCAACTAGAAGAGCTAATTATTTAAGATTAGATGTGAGGTCAGGTGCAACAATAAGACTAGTAGTTTTCCTTGACATGGGTCTACACTTGTGGTAGAAGGTACTAGAAGGTAATAGAAGGTACTAGAAGATGGTAGCAGTGCTCTAGAGAAGAGCATTGAGAATTAAGTAGAGATGAGGTAATCAGGAAGTGAAATTTATTCTGAACCAGAAGGGAATACCCATTGTTATGGCTTAGGAATTGTTACAATTCCTAAGCCATAACAATGGGGATTCCCATTGAGGCTGCTGTTTTTAAGGATGCCCTCGTACTGCCAAAATTTTAAATATGCAAAAAAGAACTTGATATTCCAAGCATCAGAGATCGTGTTACTGAAAGAAATATCCTAAGTGGGGTTAATATGCTCAGGCAAGCCCATTCAAACCCCTGCACAGAAGCCCTCCAAACTTTCCTCAGCACTGCTGAACACCCCTCCAGATGGATCGAAAAAACTGGAACCGACCTCCGCATGAATCAGATACATGATCTATGTCAAAGCAACAGCGGCGCTTCTCCGCTCCATGGGATATTATCCTATCCAAACTACCATTCCTCCATTTTCCCCCAAACTACTTCTTAAATCACAACCAAAACTTCGCCTTGAAGCCAAACATGATACCTCAAGCTGTATTGATAACTTAGTCACACAGCACACACTCTAGCAAATTATTTACGTTGATGGTTCTGTTCACCAATCCACTGGTGCAGCTGGTAGTGCTGCTGTTGTCGTACAGAGTGATGGCTCTCTTAAAGAAACTGGAACACGTATTAATAATTGGGCCTCTACCCTTCAGACAGAACTGTTTGCCACACTTCGTACACTGAAATGCATATATGTATCTAAGATTGACAGTTTAATTGTAACTGATTCCCTGTCATCCATAAATGCTCTCAACTCATTAAGCATAAATTGTGGCATGCTCGTGTCAGAAGCCAGACACAGGTATGGTAAGATTGTGGACAGTGGAGTCAGAGTGCACATGCTGTGGATTCCATCTCACACTGGTCTTCAGATGCATGATAAAACTGATAAATTGACTAAGCTGTATGCTTTCAAAGAGGTAGTAGATTACAATCTTGGCGTGTCAGGTAGTAGTTTGAGAACAATAATACTGTGGAAATTTTTATATGGGGTTACCTGTATGTACCTCAACATTACATTCATGCACGCAATCTCATTGGGAGGCGACAACCATATATTGTTTACAGTAGTTACCCCGTGTAGACATGTGAGAAAACTTAGCCACCCCTGGTCACTGCAGGTGGCTCCTTCGACCTCACAATCTTACCCATATCTATCCGAGACCAGTATGAAGTGGATAGCACCCACAAGTAAGGCGCTACTAATTAATTGTGGACTGTATAGATTATATTGGTTTGACTGAATGAAAGGGTGGAGTAGGTTACACACACACATATCCATTAAGGAAAAAAACACTTGTATATAAAAACACCATTTACCAGATATTCTCTGGTGGTCACTTGATGTAGCTGGATCACCCATAACCTATCCAATTACAACATACCTAACTGGCCAGTATCAGTCTCCTATAATTAGAATGGTTACTTAACTGTGGGTGATTGATGCTCCTTATTTCCTCCATATTTCCTCCATTCACCATCCCATTTCAATGTCCTGCTACACCGATACGATTATTATTTCAGCAGGACGAAGTATCCAATGGTTTGTCCCGGTTTAGAAATCGTGAGATCCATAAATTCACTCGGAAAATGGCGACTCATTTCACTGAACACATTCTCGTAACTTAGTGTTATTATCACTGATTACTTCACAGCCCACCATACAGTTTAGCGCCTCACAACTATTATGCACATTAGAGGTCACTCCATTAAGATCTGAGACCGATGAGTGATGATTAAATCACGGGTATTTTCCCCTGAACACACTCGATGGCGTCACGCCAGTTCCACCGTGCTTACCATTATTCACTAATTTTACCACTTTATTACGATGGTCCTATAAATCACGTTCCCTCGCTCTTCACCAGGAACAGCTACGACACTTCCTATTACGAAGTGAGGCCTATATTAATCCTTAGGCCGCCGTGGACCCCAATTTGCTGGTCCCATTTTTTCCCAGCCTCTTAACTCTATTCAAAACACTCCCGCCCCTCTCCCCTCTGTCATCCGCGTAGGAGCAGCGGTTCCCTGTTGGTTCTTTTCCATTTTCAAATACATTTTTTGACCCATATCAACACATTAAACACCTACTAGGCACTATAGCTTCGGAAAATTAAAATATTTTCCACAAATACGAAAAGAACTTCAACTGAATTTTATTGACTTAAGACTCAGGGAGATTGACACAAGTCAGTCCATCTATCATCATTCCATCATGCAGGAGGAGTCACATGTCTGTGGTGCATCCAACAAAATAAGCAGACTCTGGGATGTCACTACTGCCCGGCTCCGGCTGGGTTACAAGTAGCTTTGGCAGGTTAAATCACCACCACCAGATGTAGACCAAACGAAACGTAAACTTTGCCAGATGGACTATTGTCACACCCTGCGTCATTATGTACCGGAGTGCGATAAAATTGATGAATTTAGAAAAATGTTCAAGAAATGGCAAAGTATTTTATCCATAGTGGTATATTACAGACCATTCTGGAGAAATACCCTGACTTTGCTAGCTGTAAATAAAGCATAACCATATGTACTCACCTAGTTGTACTCACCTAGTTGAGGTTGCGGGGGTCGAGTCCGAGCTCCTGGCCCCGCCTCTTCACTGATCGCTACTAGGTCACTCTCCCTGAGCCGTGAGCTTTATCATACCTCTGCTTAAAGCTATGTATGGATCCTGCCTCCACCACATCGCTTCCCAAACTATTCCACTTACTGACTACTCTGTGGCTGAAGAAATACTTCCTAACATCCCTGTGATTCATCTGTGTCTTCAGCTTCCAACTGTGTCCCCTTGTTACTGTGTCCAATCTCTGGAACATCCTGTCTTTGTCCACCTTGTCAATTCCTCTCAGTATTTTGTATGTCGTTATCATGTCCCCCCTATCTCTCCTGTCCTCCAGTGTCGTCAGGTTGATTTCCCTTAACCTCTCCTCGTAGGACATACCTCTTAGCTCTGGGACTAGTCTTGTTGCAAACCTTTGCACTTTCTCTAGTTTCTTTACGTGCTTGGCTAGGTGTGGGTTCCAAACTGGTGCCGCATACTCCAATATGGGCCTAACGTATACGGTGTACAGGGTCCTGAACGATTCCTTATTAAGATGTCGGAATGCTGTTCTGAGGTTTGCTAGGCGCCCATATGCTGCAGCAGTTATTTGGTTGATGTGCGCTTCAGGAGATGTGCCTGGTGTTATACTCACCCCAAGATCTTTTTCCTTGAGTGAGGTTTGTAGTCTCTGACCCCATAAACTGTACTCCGTCTGCGGCCTTCTTTGCCCTTCCCCAATCTTCATGACTTTGCACTTGGTGGGATTGAACTCCAGGAGCCAATTGCTGGACCAGGTCTGCAGCCTGTCCAGATCCCTTTGTAGTTCTGCCTGGTCTTCGATCGAGTGTGCGTGTGTGTGTGTGTGTGTGTGTGTGTGTGTGTGTGTGT